GAGTCGTATCGGTATGATCCCATCCTCGATGGCGTAGACGTTGACGGAAATGTCGTTGAGATTTTCAAATTTTTTAATTTGACTCAACGTCATCGGGAACTCAATACCCGTGAGATTTAGTACCAATGAGTAGTGCGGATATGATGATGTTCGATATGTATGACTTTCAGCGGGATGTAGAGCTGCAACCACCGACCATGCGAAACAAGCAGTGTCTTTGGATTGCACGTTGACCACCGCTCTCTTTAACATAATTTCTCGCGGGAGTTTGATGTGACATCCCGCGCGCAGAGGATTCAGTTTATTCGCGTTAACATTCAAGTTCAATATACGTGACAGTGCCCATCCGCTATCACGTTCTTGAAACTCTTCGAGCGATGCTAGGATTGGCTCGACGACGCGTGACACGTACCACTCGCGCTGATCGGTGCATCGATATATTTCATAGTTCCGAGTGGCGATACTCTTGTTCGCGCGTTTGTCACCTGCCACGAATTCACCGTTAAATACTGTATTTATCTTTATAGAGTCATATCTCCGCATAATATACTGCACACGCTCGATCACAGTTTCACTCGCGTCTTCGAGGAATCGGCGGGGGTCGATGTGATTAGAGTTTATCACCGCGCCCGTTAGAATACGGCTTTCGAATGCCGTTTCGATCTCGCGCCATCGGAGTGCATATCCGGCGCCCACGTACACAAATCGTCCGCGCACTGAATCTTTCAAACTCTCGAGCCGCGCGATACGTGCGATCACTGATTGGCTATTACCGATCGATAATCGCGGGCGTTTGATCCGACTCTGTTCTTCCAGAGATTCTATAAATCACATCGCTGTTCCCACGCGACGTACTCTTCTCTGGTACTAAGCAGGGTAGCTTGCTGTATCAAATCTCGCTCCATGTCGCTTGATTGACTAATGACACGATGCGTCTGAATCTTTGCGTTTTATATCTATCTATCTATTTGGCAACAATGCATCCCCAGTGAACAATAAGGCGTCTTTAAGACGCCTAAAAGACGTCATAAAATTTTGTAGGACGTCCGAAAAATTTATTAAAAGGCGTCTTTAAGACGCCTTATGTCTGTCTTTTAGTAGTCTGTTACACGTCTGTCAGACGTCATATTAGACATATTTTAGACATTTTGATGGATGTCTCTCAGACATTCCTTATAATGGTCTATAAGACGTCTTTGAGACATTCTACAATGTCATTGTTCAGACATTTTTCAGATTAATTTTGGACATTACGATTTTTCTGGATTAAATTAGGTTATATTGACAGAGTTTCGATACACACACACACACACACCGCCAGTACTATGAAAATCTAATATTATCTAATATTATCTAATATTATCTTATTCTTGTTCTGCAAAATGTCTTAAACAGATATGTCCAAAAGATATCTTAAAAAAGATGTCTTTATAGGATTTGACTAAAAGTCGTCTTTAAGATATCTTTTTGTAAAATCTTAAAGTCGTCCTGGAAAGGACGTCCAAAAGACGTCTTAAAAAGAATTGTCTTTAGGACTTGGCTAAAAGTTATCTTAAAGATGTCTTTTTGTAAACGTCTTAAAGTCGTCTTTTTTAAGACGTCTTTCGGATTGTCTGTTAGACATTCATGTTCACTGGGTCTCTTAACTGTTAAATGTATAATTTGGCAACGTCGCAATTGTATCAAATTACATTACTGCTTTCATCACCTGACGTGTCTTTTGCATAAAATCATAAACAGAACTTACAAACGTTGCATTTTTTAAATATCGAATTACACTAATGATTTCATCACCGTACGTGTCTTTTTGCACAAAATCATAAACAAAACTTGCGAACGTTGCATTTTTTAAATATCGAATTACACTAATAATTTCATCATCGCGTACATGTCTAAAAATCTGTATTGTGCGAAATTCTTTCTTAGCAACTGCATATTTGCAAACGTTGCATTTTAAAAATATTGAATTACACTAATGATTTCAATTCTTCGCTTCCTTCCATCCATCCTTATTCGCATGGTATCACGTTACATCGCGACAGCGTCATCGCTAGAGCGGCACCGCGTGCGACAGTCTCACCGCGTGCGACGGCGGTATCGCGATAGTTAAAATAAATAATAATAATAATTATTATTATTTCTATATGATATGAAATAAGTTTGCGAGCGATCTTTTATTATTAATCAACCTTTTTAATTTATAAATTAAAGAATTTGCGGGACAAAGATGCGATATATATAATCGCATAAGGGAATGCAAATATTAACGCATAAGAGGAAGAGAGACGGTAGGTATAGCACGGCTGCGCCCGGAGGGACCGCGCCCGACGGACCTCGCGGTAGGGGAGGACCGCGCCCGACGGACCTCGCGGCGGGGTAGGACCGCGCGCGTTAGTTTACCGGAGGACCCTGGCAGCCATTGACCCCGCGGTGACAACGCGGACCCCGCGCGAATGCGTCAGCACCCTGTGATGTCATTTTCCTCCCCGTCATCTCTAGGCGTCATCCTCCTCCTCCCGTGACGTCATACTCCTCGACGTCATCCCCTCCCCTCCCGTGACGTCATACCCCTCACACTCTGTGACGTCATCCCCTGGCATCACCACAGTGTTCCTAAACGTATTAAACTCCTCGCGTTCTTAAACACATTATAATTTATGTTTGTAAACCTGGTTCATAAATCAAGTGCTTACGGAAAAAAGAACAAACTTGGCCTAGAACCCTCCCATCTATACTACTAATTTACACTTAATATCTTAAGTTATCTCATCGTCCCAAGAAATTTTTTGGGCCCAAGCTTCTTGTAACAAAAGTTTAGGGAAAAGCATCACGGGACAAGCGAAACCCAGCGGATCAAATATTCGATGAGTGAGCGACAGTATAAAGCGTTTAGTAATTTTCTCAGTGCAAAGATCGTTCAATTCCGGTACGTTTATTGTTAGGATATCATCTTTCTTATTCCAAATAATGCCCAGTACTGCAGCCTGGTCTTCGTGGGTATCGTCTCCTGAATACTCCCATCCTCTAAGATCAAAACAGCCTTTCTCCATCACTGCTTTTGCATCTGAAATAAATTCGTATAAATGTGTCAACGAATTTACGCTAGTAACACAATTATCGACATAGAAACTTTTCAAAAGCTTCAATACGTTTTCTCGGAACCTCTCGGAGAGGCATTCGTCTTCGATAACCTTGCTTAAATGTAAGTCAATTATCGCGCCTAGAATAAAAGGGCTACAAGATACTCCAAAAACGACTCTAGTATGACGTAAGACTATTACATTACCTTCGTTATCATACCACAGAAATCGCAAAAAATCTCGATCCTTTACATCAATGCTAATTTATAAAAAAACCTTTCTTATATCCGAAATAATTCCAATATTACCTTTGCGAAATCGTAATAACAGTGATACAATAAGCTCTATAAAATTAGGACCTTTTTCTAAACATTGATTTAATGACGGAAAACTCTTGTCCTTTGCTGACGCATCGAAAACAGGTCGTATTCTGGTGGTACTTTTCTCCTTAACCACATGCCGATGTGGAAGATAGTGGCCCCAATTATGCGCTTCTTCAGCAGGAACTTCTTCGATAATGCCTTCCGCCATCCATTCATCAAATACTGCGTTGTACTCGTAGAATAATCCTTCGCTCTTCAATTTCTTCGTTGTTGTAATTAGTCTTTTATGAGCAAGATCTCGATTATCGTTGATCTCCGGGTGAGTTTGCAGCCAAGGTAGTCGTACTTCATAGCGTCCATTTTCGTTTAACCGAACAGTTTTCAAAAAAGCTTCATGTACCTCCTTTTCATGTTCTTTAAGCGATTTCGTCTCAATAGGATCCTTTATTCCTAGAGTGTCTAAGTTCCATAATTCAGAAACATTCTCCTCTCGTACAAACATAGACAACACGATTCCAGTTGCATCTTCGTGCACTTCGGTGTTAGAAATTTTTCCCATAATAGTCCATCCCAAGCAAGTTTCTACCGCGACTAAACCGCATTTCAGAAGTTGTCGGCGTCCGGTTAGCAGTTTTCCGGCGACGTCAGCTCCAATAAGAATTTGTATACGTCCGCTATTTTCCTCGTTGTCTTCAATATCTGTCAGCCGGATGTTCAAATTCCTCAATTCCTTGTTCCATGAACCACTTTTAATGCAAGGAATACTGTCACAAATGACATCTTGATTGAAAGCTTTAAAATTGCAAGCATATTTTCCATCCAGGCTGCTCAATCGAACAATGTAACGTCGATGCCTCTGTGAATCCGATTTTAAATCAAAGAGTGAATGGGTTATTAATTGTTCACCAACCGGTTCATAACCCATCATCTCAGCTGTCTGTTTCAGAATGTACGATCTTTGCGAACCAGTATCAATAATAGCACGTACAATGTATTCGGCGTCACTGTTTCGCAGTTTAACGCGTAATGTCTGTAAAAAAACTTGTGGATTTTCGAATATACTTGCCAAGTTACTCTCTTCCGTGGATTCCTTATTATGCTCAGCTTCCTTCGTGACAGTTTCCTTGCGAGTGACCTCTGTGCACATCAAAATTACATGCCTTTTACTACACCATGCACATTTGATATTGACACGATATTTCTTACACAAATGTCCGATTTTCAGGTAATTAAAACAGGCATTTTTCTCCTTGAGCACTTCCCGTCGGTCTTCTATATTCATTCTTCGTGCCTTCTCACAATTAGCACTCTTATGTTGAGCACCACAAAATATATTTTTAATGTATTTGTAATGTTTTTGTTTGCTCCCGTCGTAAGTAGACTCGCGGCACTTGGAATGTCTTTATCGTTATTAGCGCGTACTTTTGATTTTTTGCCTTTATCATTCTCGGATTTTAGACCAAAACCTCTGACAGCCATCGAAATTCTTTCTTCGTTCTCCACTTCGGCTCGAAGAAACTCAATCAGGAGTATCAATCTATCCTTCGGAACATCGGTAATATGCGATCCAGAACTACTTCGCTGCCATGCGCGCAACAAATCCTCTGGTAAAGAAAATTCCACCAGAGGGAACAACATGATCGCGCACTTATCGGTCGTAACGCCGAGCGTCTCGAGCGCCCTCAGATGTGACTCGATCCTATCATATAACGTTGATAATTGTGTCTTCTCATTAGGCTTCATGGCTTTATGAAGCACGAGCTTCAGCATTTCTCGTACATAAACTTCTACTTGTAATTCCTCACGACCAAAACGATTTTTTAGACTCAAAATTACCTTGTCATAGTTTTCTCCAGTCGGTGGAAAACTCTGCACCAAATCGTACGCTCGTGATTTTGGAGCCATTGCTTGGATTAAGTATTGGAACTTATTCTCGTTTGCGATATGAATGTCCTCATGAATCTTCTTAAACTGACTCCAAAACTGTAACCACTCTTTCACGTCGCCATTAAATTTTCTCAGTTCGATTTTAGACAGTTTGTACGTCTTCTGTCTCCTTTCCCCGACTGCATTCATAGAAATCCCGGCGGATGTCTGATTCGCCGCGGTCGACTGATTCGCGCCCAACAAACGTGTGACTTTGTTCTCTATGCGCACGAACTTTGCCTTATACTCATCGGCCACTTCGATTTCGTGCACAAGTTCTTCTTCCGCAGTGTCTCCTAGAACCATAAGAGTGAAAGTCTTTTCTTTTATGAGCGATAGTTCCGAAAACTTGTTTTCAAGCGCCTCAAAACGCGTCTTGCAAATCTTCTAGATTCTCCGTTTCAGATTTTAGAGCCTCATCGAGTGCATTGTATGTTCTTGTGAAAACGGTCCGCAACGACTTGCAACCTTTCTTTATTTGATCCATGTTTCCTCGAGAAAAAACTTAACTCGTGATCCAGATAACATAAACTCCGTCCTAATCACGGTCGCCAAATTGTCGGGTTAAGAGGCGGGAAAAGGTGAATCACGATAAGACTACTCACTGACTCGAGGATTAGATGTGAAAAGAACTTTATTACAAGCGTCCTTCTTGCTGGCTAACGCCATTACATTAAAAAAAAACTTACTATTCAACAGCGCCACCACGTCGCATCAATTAACTCTACACTAGCGCTCGTCGGAAGCGTTAAAAGAAACAAACGTAAATCTGACATCCTCCCACCTTGAGTTGTTATCTTCAACTCAATCAACAAAATATAAAAATTTTTTTTTAGACATATTTCATAAGCGGAAAAATTATGTATAGTATTTTCGATACGTAGATGACATTGTCATGACTGTTCCAAGTAACCAAATTAATAATACTCTAAATACTTTCAACTCGTATCATAATAGATTGCAATTCACGGTTGAGATTGGTGGAAATAAAATTAGTTTTTTAGATCTTAATATTATTAATAATAACAATATTTTAGAATTTGACATTTATAGAAAACCGACATTTTCAGGTAGATTTTTGAATTTTTTGTCATCACACCCTTTGTCTAAAAAAAAAAGGTATAATTATTGGATTGATAGACAAAATCTTTTTGTTATCACATCCTAAATTTCATTTTAAAAATATTGTAAACACCATTAATATTTTAATAAATAATGACTATCCATTGGATTTGATTTTTGACACTATCAATACACGTTTGAAAATTTTAATTAAGAATCATAATAAACTGAATAATAAAGATAATAGAGAAATAGATGTAGACAACATTGACAAGAATGATGAAATTAAACCTTGGTTTCTCATACCATATATTCCACCAATTTCGGATGAATTTATTAGGATTTGTAAAGAGTTTGATCTAAGATTGGCATTCACTAGCGTAAATAAATTAGATAAATTCATTAAAGTTCAAAAGGATATTTTGCCAAATGACAAGAAGAAGAATGTTATACATAAGATTTCATGCAGTTCATGTAATGCATAGTATGTTGGACAGACTTGTAGAAAACTTAAGACTAGAATTTCAGAACATCGAAATCACATCAATCGTAACACAGATACACACTCGGTGATTACTGAACATAGGTTAAAATTTGGACATAAATTTGATTGGCAAAATGTGACAATTCTTGATTCTGAACGTTATTTAAATAGGCGTTTAATATCTGAATGTATTCACATCCATATACAGGAGAATGGGTTAAATAAACGTACTGACACTGATGGGTTGCATCAAAATTATAAAACATTGCTAGACGAAATGAAATATAATTTATAATTAATTTTCTCTTATGTATATTTTTGATAAGCGTTAATTTTACATTGTATTAATTTTTAAAGAATTGACTTATATTTGTCCCTACATATTTATTTTCTTCAAAGTACGATTTAGCAATTCTTTGTAGTATTAACAGTTTTAACTCTGACACCGAAGTGAAAACGTGTTTGTTGTCATTTGAATTATATTCTTATGTGATAATTATTAGTTAAGTCTAAGATATATATATTAATGCGGTCCACGATTATGATATTCTCTCCATTTTAAATGCAAGGTAGGACATTCTTATATTAATTTATGATAAAAATTATATTAATAACATAATATTCACAGATACAACATTCTTTCTGTCAAATTGATGAACTATCTTTGTATATTGAATTGGAGATTGTTTCGATTGTATTGCTGAAGAAGACTCGAAAATGAGTCGAAACGTATACATTGTCTCTTAATTAAAGATTTGATTGAAGATCCGTTTGTTGGATTATTTACGTACCTACAATAACGTTGCACTCTCACATGCCCGTTGATTTTTGATTGTTTGAATCAGGAGAGTCCGTAAGGAGATTACGTTGGAAGTATGTATAGTAAATTATAATATAAAATAATAATAAAACAAGTAGCGTAGTATTTAACATTACTCAACTACAAGAATCTCTTTGGTTTTTTAACGTTGCGCTCAGATCTCGTTACAATAGGTGATTCTACGGGACTATAACGCGAAGCTTCCGAAATACTATCAATAGAATTACAAGAAGCATCTGATTTCTCATTAATAAGACTTCGCTCTGCGCTTTTATTTTTATCGGATGTTAATTCCAACGGGTAAACCTTTTGCACAGGTCTTATTAACTCGCCAGAAGCAGTAACTAAACGAACTACTCGCACTTCATTATCCCTGCCGAAAATAACATCTTTGACTCGCGCTAAGGGCCATTCAATACGTTTCTTGTTTTCATCCTCTACTAAAACAATATCACCCACTTGAATCTTCCAGAATTCCTTTCTTTTATTATTATTATGGTGTAATAACTCTCCTAAGTACTCTACGCGAAATCTACTTCTCAAATCGTCCTTGATTTTTTGTCGGTACGCAAACTTTTTGTCTAACTTCTGTTCCTCTATTTGATCACAATTAGGTACATCGATTTCTTTAATTTCCTGCAAAAACATAGATAGTCAAAGAGGTATTAAATCTTGAGTATTATCCGACATAAATGTTATTGGTCGTGAATTTATGACAGCTTCACAGTCACACAATATTGTCGACATTTCTTCGTAAGTTAGACTAGATTGTTTAAGTGCTCTTCTTAATAAAGTTTTGTTAATCCAATTAATCACTCTCACCATCCTCCCCAGCAGGCTGCAGTAGGAGGGTTGAATTTCTAATCTATCTTTTGTACCGTAGCGACTTTTGCTACTTCATCCCAATTCACTTTAGAAAATAAATTATTTAAACCTACAAAATTCTTCCCATTATCTGGATAAACGACTGTAGGTTTTCCTCGTCGCGCCACAAATTGTCGGAAAGCTTCTAAAAATGATACGGTTGACAAAGAAGTCACCAATTCAAGTTGTATGGCTCTATACACAGCGCAAGTAAAAAGAACTATCCATGCTTTCTGAGATCCCTTGAGGAACACAGGTCCTGCTAAATCAATTCCTACGATCTCAAATATAGCAGCATCTCTAACCTGATCCTCTGGTAGTGGAGCTGTAATAACCTGTATATCCTTAGCATCATGTCTACGACAGACGACACATTGTCTTACAACCGATCGAACAGTCCTCCTACCACCTAAGATCCAGAATTGTTCCCTCAACTTATTCATCAGAATCTGTACACCGGCATGAAGTAGTTGTTCATGTTTTTCTCTAATAATTAATCGCACAATATAGCAGTCGGCAGGTAAGACTATAGGATATCGAAAGCCTTTAGTGTCTTTTCTCATAGTGATTTTTGTACTTAAACGTATTATATTCCGATCATCTTTGAAAGCATTTAAGTATCTAATCCGATCATCATTTTTGTCAATAAAATTTTCACCTTGAACAAGTCGCCGTAATGTAATCTCGGATTCTTTTAATTCGACTACGGATATCTCACTCTTTTCGCGCAGTTCCTTCTTGTTTCGAGAGTTACTAATAAATCTTTTTACCCAAGTAATAACTCGTAAAATAGTTTGGTAATTGGAAAAACGATATACATCTAAGAAGTCAAGTTTAGTCTTCCTATAATTAGGCATTGTATTCTTCTCTTTCGAAGTTGTCAGCAGAGTTTCTATAGAAGCTACAACCGGAGTTAAACAGGACTTTCTTTTTTCCTTATTAATTTCAGCATCATCAAAGGAACAATTCTGAGCAGGCCATTCATCTACCGGGGAACGCAACCACTGTGGGCCCTCCCACCAATTCGATGATAATAATTGACGAACACTACAACCTCTCGACGGTAAATCCGCTGGATTTAACGCTCCGGGTACATGTCGCCAATGCCTGGGGTTAGATAACTTGCGAATCTCCTGAAATCTATTCCATACAAAGGTACCCCAGTGGCTCTCTCTCTGAATCCAAGCTATAACTGTGGAAGAATCGCTTCAATAATACGTTCTAACGTCAATCAATTGAAGAGTATCTAACACAGAGTTTGTTAACCTAGTCGCGATGGTTGCTGCTAAGAGCTCTAATCGCGGAATAGTTACATTTTTGACTAACGCGATTCTCGATTTTGCTTGTACAAATTGCATTTCAATACCCGATTGCTTCTCTATCCTAATAAAAATAACTGCAGCGTAAGCAGATTGACTAGCGTCACAGAAAGTGTGCAATGTCAGCTGATCACTAGAATCGACATCTCCTAACATGCATCTAGGCAATTTTAATTTTTGTAAATCTTGTAACTCCGCAGTCCATTTAAGAAATTTAAGTAGTATAGATGGGAGGGTTCTAGGCCAAGTTTGTTCTTTTTTCCGTAAACACTTGATTTATGAACCAGGTTTACAAACATAAATTATAATGTGTTTAAGAACGCGAGGAGTTTAAATTATAATACGTTTAGGAACACTGTGGTGATGTCAGGGGATGACGTCACAGAGTGTGAGGGGTATGATGTCACGGGAGGGTAGGGGATGACGTCGAGGAGTATGACGTCACGGGAGGAGGAGGATGACGCCGTAGAGATGACGGGGAGGAAAATGACATCACAGGGTGCTGACGCATTCGCGCGGGGTCAATGGCTGCCAGGGTCCTCCGGTAAGCTAACGCGCGCGGTCCT